AGTATTTTGAATGGACTGCCGAATTAGTTGGCCTTGGTCTGATCAATTGTTTTTCTTTTTTCGCTGCTTTGGCCTATTAGCCGTTGTTTATGAGTGTTGGTGCCCTCCTGTGTTGTGTGTCATCACGCCAATTGGGGTTAATTGCATTTGTGTCCCCCTTTTTGGGTGAATTGGTCGACGAGCCGTGTTTTCTCGGTATTTTTAAGCTTCATATGAATGTCGTGCCCTGGTCATGGCGTACGTAGTGACTTAGGACCTTACAGGTCGCTGCATATGCCTGTTTTTGGAGTTGGCATCTGAGTTCCAAGCCTCAAGTGTAGGACGTTCTTTCCCCGAGGTGCCTCAGCCTAAATATCAAAATGGTGGCCAGTTTTTTTGATGTCAGTCGCAAGCTGTGGGTTTGAGTCTAGTCTCAGACATCAGTCTACTGCAAAGAGGCGTATTCAGAGGTCATCCTACATTTTGAGAGTAATCACACTGTCTCTCACAAGCGGAGTACAGTCTACAGCCTTCTGAATCGAGCTAAAACTCACTGCTCTGATGAAACAAGTTATCGAACAGAAGTGAAATATCTCTACAAACTGTTCTCCCAAAATGGGCACACGCATGATCTTATACGTCAATGCATGAGGCACCGGCAATTCAAGGGAAAAGGTATTTCCAATGCTACGGCCGCTAACGCATCAAAACCAACCACATGGCGAACTCTCCCATACGTAAAAAACGTATCTGAACTAGTCGAAAGACAATTGAAAAAGTACCAGATACACGTAGCACACCAGCCGACAAGTACCTTACGCACGCAGCTTGTACAACCTGAGGACATGGTTGGCTACCTCAAAAGAAAAGGTGTTGTCTTCTAAATCCCATGCTATAGTTGTGATGCCGTTTATTGTGGCCAAACTGGGAAATCTGTCTCAACCCGTTTACATGAACACCAGTTGGCGGTGAAGAGACGCGACCATCTATTCCAGGTGGCCAGGCACACCCAGGACACTGTGCGCAAATTTTCATGTGAAAACATTCGCACTGTTGGCGCCTGCCCAACAAGGAAAGGCCGTGAATTCCTAGAGGTAATGCACTCAGATGATGCATGCATCAACCGGCATATTGATTTAAATAACACATACAAAATCGTTAAGGAGAGATTCAAACTGATTAAACCAATCCTGAGATGATAACCTTAACCAATCATAAAATCCTTTTGCCAGACTCAGTCTAGAAGTTAATTGTTTTTGCACACCCGTTGTCTGAAGACGAGCTGTGGAGCCAGTCTCGAAAATGTACCCAATGAAGTCTGCTGTTTCCCAAAGAACTTCACCTTTCTAATATAATAATTATTTATTCAAGAATGGGCGCACACGGATCTATTGCCGTCACGAAGCCTTCTAGCTCCTCTGGGCGACAAAGTTCACGAACAGACAACCAGTCACCAGGTCGAAGTCGGCCAAACCATAATTGCAGCGAGGAGTGACGGCAGAGAATGCGGGTACATAGATACAGTACTGTTACGGGCTTATTTTTCCCTCATTCAGACAGTCATTGCCCTGAGCAGCAAGTGGGGATCAGAAACCGAAAAATACGCACAGATGCACCTGGCACAGTTGGTCCACCACTGGGGTCTATCAGATGGGTCATATACACTTCATCGGAACGAAGTTCATCAGTGTCTCACCAACTGTCATTCTCTGTCGATGCAGATCGGGTACATATTCAATCAGGAATATGCGCGCACCGATCTATTGGCTTTACGAAGCAAACAAGCTCCGTATGTGTGGCAAAGGTCACGAACAGGCAGCCTTGTACCTTGTATTCAAACAGTTTTCTACAGCAATATGAGCCTTGGACTAGGCTTGTGTGAATAAACGTTGAATGTGTAGGCGTATGCGTGGTCTCAACCATGTTGACTGTCTTGCCAAGAAGGCCGCTAAAATCCTTCTCACGCCCTAGCTCACCTCGACGTGGCAATCTTGGGTCCTCAGTGTCTCAGAACTTGCCGAATGTTTTATTCCCATTTCTCTATCAATTCTATTTTCCCAATTTTGTCAGCTGGGAAACGCGCGATATGAGTATTCAAGAAAACAACGTCTGGAAATAAGAGGAAAGCAGAATTGATAGCCAAATGGGAACAAAACAATCGACAAAGTCTTAGCCATTGAGGATCCAAGATTGCCACGTCGAGGCGAGCTAGGGCGTGAGAAAAATTATAGTTGTCTTTTTGGCAAGACAGTCAACATGGTTGAGACCACGCGTACGCCTACACATTCAACGTTCACTCCCACAAGCGGGCGAATGAGCACGACCACGACGTCGTACGTTTGCGGTGTTTACGTAGGCTAACACCTACCGCCAAGAAATTCACCTACCAAACTACCCTATCACTCTCGCCTCTTCTTCCCTGCAGCGTTAGACCAAGAGCCTAGAGTTGATTTGATATTACCTATGCATCCTCTGGAAAATAGGTCTGGCGGTGCAAATGAGAACAATGATTCCAGATTTTCCGCGTTCCAAACGGCAGTATTTTACGCACCAATCAAGCCAGCGCACACGTCTGTTCTTCACTAAAGTGTCAGAGCTAGGCGGTACCGTTAATTTGCTAACTACAATCTTGGGGACTGGAAAGATTTGAAACCCAGCTCCGGATTAATAATGGACGGTATTAAATGAATTGCAAACACTCAAAAATCAGAAATCGAATAGATTTAATAAAGTCAAAACTCCTTTCCGCTTTGTTAGCGCAATCTTTTGATGAACGAATAGCTAATTCCATATATAAGTCTTTCAAATGTGCGGCACTTTGCGTTTGGTAACTCGCGGATTGGGATTGCATGAATAGAAAAACCTAGTCCAACTTTCACATAAGTATAGAAAACTGTTAGAATACAAGGTACCGGTTGCCCGTTCGTGAACTTTGCCACCCAATACGGAGGTGGTTTGCCTAGTGAAGGCAGTAGATCGGTGTGCGCCTATTCCTGATTTAATTAATAACCGATCTCCAGCGACAAAGAATGACCGGCGGTGAGGCACCGATGACCTTCGGTTCGATGAAGTGCTTATGACCCATCTGATAGACCTCAGTGGTGGGGTGTAGGGCTGTCGGCGGTGGGTTCACGTGATGTTCGTGGTAGTCGCTCACTTGCTTGCAGCTGATACTACGCCTAGCGTCCACTTGCTGGCACTCAACTCTCACATGTGGCTCCACGTAGCTGGGCTCTTCTCAGCGGCCACACCACGGGCAACCGCCTCGACCGGGCGGTTACTTCCGGTGCGCGTTGTGCCACGTGCACAGGGTACGGCGGACTCCGCTGGACGGTTGGTCGGATGGAACACCGTGTCGGCACCCTCGTGACGAGTCTCCGCGCGATACGCCATTGATCAGCCGGTGGAATGCACCTTCGAATCGGCATCGCTGACTCGCGCCCATTTGGTGCACAGCAGGAGTCCGCAGGCTTACGGCTATGTCGTAAGCCATTGGCCACTTCGAGTCCTTCTTCCACTGCCAAACAAATTCGTGGCCTACAGTGGAGTTCGGTCGCGCCGGCAGCCCTGTTTAGGGACGGGCACTGCTTCTCTTCGGAGGGGGTCTGGAAAAGCCGGCCTAAAGATTGCTGGGGAACCACGTCGTCTGCAGGCTGACTGTGGTCGCAGACGTAAAACTCACGGTCGAAAAAACCAAAATCAAAATAACAACAAAAAAACTATACTACTTGCTCTCCTCATCATGCCTCTTCTTCCTCTTCCTCTGCCTATTCTTCTGCCTATTCTTCTCCTTCGTCACCTTCTTCTCCACCTCCTTCCTGTCGTCCCACTCGTTGTCGCTAGATTGGCAGGGTGAGCCCGCTCACTCTAGCTACCTGGAATGTTCCTTCCCTTTTAGACAATCCGAGGAGCAACCGACCGGAACGGAGGACGGCGCTAGTGGCATCAGAACTGGCGCGCTACAAGGTGAACATCGCCGCACTCAGCGAGACCCGATTCTCCGAACAAGGCCAACTGGAGGAGGTGGGTGCCGGTTACACCTTCTTCTGGAGCGGTCGACACAGGGCAGTGCGGCGGGACGCGGGTGTCGCCTGCGCAATCCGGAATGACATCGTGGGACGACTGCTCAGTCTGCCGCAGGGCATCAACGATCGCCTGATGAGCCTCCGTCTGCCACTCCGGCGGGGGGAGGGAGGCAAATTCGCCTGCGCTCCGCCGATGAGCAGCCCCGACGCCGCCGCAAGAGACAAATTCTACGAGAACCTACACGCCCTCTTGGCGATTGTGTCGAAGGCGGACAAGTTGATTGTCCATGGTGACTTCAACGCCCGCGTCGGCACAGACCATACTGCCTGGAGGGGAGTGCTGGGTCCCCATGGTCTCCGCAGCTTAAAAGACGATGGCCTGCTGCTCCTCCGGACCTGCGCTGAACACCGCCTCATCCTGACGAACACGTTCTTCTCTCTGCCGGAGCGAGAGAAGGCCACCTGGAGGCATCCTCGGTCGCGTCAGTGGCACCTGCTGGACTATGTCTTCGTCCGGAGACGAGATCAGCGGGACGTGCTGGTGACATAGGCGATCGCGGGAGCTGACGGGTGGACCGACCATCGCCATCTCTCCAGGAGACCATCAGGGCCGTGCAGCAACTCTTCAGCGGAAAAGCACTCGGATCGGACGCAATCCCTGCTGAGGTCTACAAGCACGGAGGTCCCAAAGTGATGGATCACCTGATTGCGCTCTTCCAGGAAATGTGGCGTCAAGGTAAGGTCCCGCAAGATGTCAAGAACGCAACAATCGTGCATCTCTACAAGCGAAAAGGGAACCATCAAGTCTGCGACAATCACCGTGACATCTCTTTGCTAAACATCGCCGGGAAGATCTTCGCTCGAACCCTCCTCAATCGTCTGAATAATCATCTCGAACAGGGCCTTCTGTCGGAAAGCCAATGCGGCTTCCGTCGTAATCGCGGGACTACGGATATGATCTTCACCGTCCGTCAACTTCAGGAGAAGTGACAGGAGATGCTGACCCACCTGTACTCTACCTTCGTGGACCTGATGAAAGCCTTCGACATGGTGAATCGTGAAGGACTGTGGAAGATCATGCAGAAATTCGACTGTCCGGAGCGATTCATTCAGATGGTGCGTCAGCTGCACGACGGTATGATGGCGCGAGTCACGGACAACGAAGCTGTCTCAGAGGCATTCGCAGTGACCAACGGAGTGAAGCAGGGCTGCGTACTGGCGCCTACTCTCTTCAGTCTTATGTTCCCTGCCATGCTGATGGACGCCTACCACGATGAACGCCCCGGGATCCGCATCGCCTACAGGACAGAGGGCTACCTTCTGAATCAACGGCGAATGCACTTCCAACCGCGCGTCTCCACAACCACCGTTAACGAACTTCTCTTCGCCGACGACTGAGCCCTGAAAATCACCTCGGAAGAGGAGATGCAACGGAGCATGGACGTCTTCTCTACTGCCTGCAAGAATTTCGGTCTGGTCGTCAACACGCAGAAGACGGTGGTGATGCATCAACCGCCACCCAACTCAGCCACAGCCCCCAACGCGCCGCCGCAAATCAGCGTGAACGGAACCCAACTGCAAGTGGTGGAGAACTTCCCGTACCTGGGCAGTACTGTCTCCCGCAACACCAAGATCGATGACGAAGTCGCTCGCAGGATCTCGAAAGCCAGTCAAGCCTTCGGTCGCCTCCAAAGCGCAGTTTGGAACCGCCACGAACCGAGCACGAAGCTAAAGATGTAAAAGGCCATCATCCTGCCGACGCTACTGTATGGAGAGGAGACCTGGACGGTGTACACAAAGCAGGCACGTCGACTGAACCATTTCCACCTCAGTTGTCTCCGTCGCATCCTGAGGCTGAACTGGCAGGATCGAATCCCCAACACTGATGTGCTGGAACGGACGGGAATCGTCAGCATCTACACCATGCTGAGACAAATGCAGTTGCGCTGAAGCGGCCACCTGGTGCGCATGGACGACGAGCGACTACCCAAACGACTCTTCTACGGAGACGTCGCGACGGGTTGTCGCCGCCAAGGAGGCCAAATTCGTCGAGAAGAGGATACTCTGAAGTCCTCCCTGAAGCATCCGCAAATTAACCCGACCAACTGGGAAGAGCTCGCCCTCGAGCGACCGATCTGGAGGAGGAAAGTGATGACAGGCGCTGCGATCTATGAGGCCAATTGAATCGCCGCTGCCAAATTGAGACGCGAAGCACGCAAGTCACAGCTACGCCCCGTCCGCAACGCCAACGCACCACCGCTTCCAAAGTGTCCTCGGTGTCAACGGGCATTTCCGGCACGAATTGGACTCATTGGACATCTTCGGACCAACTTTGCCTCTCGGACTCCACCAACCATCGACCCCTCGCCCGGCTCTTCCTTGTCCTTTCGGTCGCGAACTATCTCTGACAATTCTTCTGAACCACCACCCTCCTCCTCCTCCTTTTCCTCCTCCTCCTCTTCTGTCACTGCCCCGACGACGACCGCTCAGGCGACCGTCTCGCACATCAACATCCCTGACACAACAACCGACACCACCCCCACTGCCTCCGACTCCAGCGATGAGGATCAGGACTACACCTGCCCTCACAGCGACCGCACATTCACCTCACACAGCGGCCTGGTCGGTCACTTGCGAATCCATCGCACAGAGGCCGGCCAACCAGTGCCAGGAGCCCCAGCCTACACCCACCGCAACCGCCTCCACTACCCACACTGCCCTCGCACCTTCAAGCATCGCATGGGTCTATTCGGCCACATGCGCATCCACGAAAGGGGAATTGACCACCCTCCCAACTCACCTACCACGCCAAACCCCATTTCCACCTTATCACCCTTTGCGCCCATCACCGTTATCGCAACTGACACCGACACCACCGACGTCACCTGCCCACACAGTCCACACACATTCACCTCTCGCATAGGCCTGGTCGCTCACTTGCAATTCCATCGCACAGAGACCGGCCAACCAGTGCCTGGAGCGCCAACCTTTACCCACGAAGCTCGTCTCCACTGTCCACACTGCCCTCGCACTTTCAGGCGTCGCATGGGCCTATTCGGCAAAATGCGCATCCACGACGACCTGCGACAGACAACCGCCGGTTACACCACACATCCACACACTCCCTACCTTCCTCCACCACCACTACCTCACGCCACCACACATCAACTCTCACCAACCGCATGCACCCAACTGCCACCTCCCACGCAAGTGGGAAGTGTGCATCTCGACTCGGTACCCATGCGGCTTCGGCTGCAGGGGTGACTTGAGTCCGAGACTATCCCGACACGTCAAGCGTCGTGGATAGGAAGGTTGCTGATTGACGCCCCCACTCGGTTCACGCAGTTCGTCCCGTTGCGTGTGTGTTGTGTGGAGTGGCGGACTGGTGGGCTGAGGACGGGCTGAAACAGCACCTTCCACGGCCCCCTCGCGCAAGTGAGAGACACGCCGTTCAATCCCCGTTGTGTGAAATCCTGGTGTTTGTGTGTATGGGGGGCCAGGTCGTGCTCGTGGCGCGCGCAGTCATGGTCAGTCGACCATGACAGCCACCGCGCCCATTTCCCACTCCAGTCTGCTGACCGGCTCGGACAGCGGCTGGGGCGTGGGGATGGGAAGGGAGAGTGAGGTCGACGACTCAGCGCACTTTCCTCACTATGAACAACCTGACTCGTTTGAAGTTATCACGGTGCACTAAAAGCCGCGGCTTGGAAGGTTGCCAACTGACGGGATAACTTGAACGTCCTCGACTGGAGGTCTGAGAGTCAGGCTGCAACGGCTCCTTCTTAATGTGGCTATTATGGCACTCCCACCACAGTGTGGGATCCGAGCCAGGCGTCGGCGGCACGCCTAGCTGCGGCTTCGGCCGTTCCAGCCTCCAAGCTCAGTTGTGTTGGTGAAGATCCTGGTTATTTGTTGTGTGGACCAGGGGGTGTGGAGTGGAGCGCCAAGGCGAGGATCCGTCCGAGCCATCCACCTGCGGCCTCCCTCGTTTCCGGTCTTCATGACTTGGTCTTGACAACGGGCACAGGCGGGGGAGGAGGAGAGAGTGTAGGTAGATGCTACGCAAGTCTACTGGCACCCTAAACCCCTGCGTAAGTCACCGTCCCTGCTCCCACTGCTGCTGTTGTGGGGCAAACGGCGGACATCATCGAAATTGATGGTCGAATTATCATTACCTCGTAGGTGCGACTGTGTCACAGGATTGATGTGAACTGTTTGAACGCCTGTTGGTCTGCACCTGCGTTGGAGATGATTTAAAGAAGACGTTGTTTTCTACCGAATGAGTAAAATAATGAATGTTTCCTGCATGTTTCTACAAAACATGTTTATAAGGGCACTGAAACTAAGTGATACAAATTCCTACTAATTAAGTAGTCACTTTTTATCAAGCAGGGTTTTTGTAGGCGGCCGAAAGGATGTTCGTTTAAAAGCCAGCATCCTGAAGTAGCTGCATTACCGGTGGATAATGCTGCATGGTGATCAGTATGACAACACTACTTGAGAAATCTTTCCGTGACGGAAACGCGTTTCAGGATTTCGGTTAACATTTAATTCGTTAGCACATTTAGTGTGACTATAAATTCTTTCATAACTCCTGTCTTCTCCTGGTATCCATAGCGTGGGATTGGCTGTTGTGTTCTCAACGTTCGCAACAAGAATACGATTGCTTCTTATGAACTATTGTCGGTCAGATGTGGTTAAGTGCCCAATATGAGTAAGTCAAGCCCCAGCTCATAACCCCTTATCCAAATACCTAAGGCTAATTCCTAATCCGAGCTCTAACCCAAACCCTAACCATAATCTCTAAGCGCGGATCTAAACTTTAACCCAACAGTATGGTATCCGTCAGGAGGGCTACATAATCACATATTGCCCTATTGTCGGCCCCATGCACTTGTTCTGGAACGAAATGCAAGTGAAACATGCGAGGGACAAGAGATTTAAGTCGATCCTTATGTAAAAACGGGGTGTAGTGAAGTGGAAGAGGGAATAAGATGAATGAGTGGGGGAAAGTTAGAAAATTTGGCATCTAGCAACTAGATGGTAGTTGCTTCTGCTGCTGCTAGCAGACGCCAATGCAGTGGCTTAGAGCAGTTTAGCGAAACCCTTTAAATGCATGGAAGGGTTCGCTGGTTTTCACTTGATGCTCGAAATCAACGATCTATTTAACATTGTCCCTATGTGTGCTTTTCATTTCGCCATTCCTCATCTTTGTCCGGCATTCCCTTTTATTATTGAAATAGACGTCTATTCTTGCCAACGCTATAATCTGCCACACACGAGACAGTAAGCGAGTAAATACTCATAGTTGTGTGCTGAGCTGGTGACCTTTCCCGAACCTCTTCTTGTAACACCGGGTGGGTCGAAAATAATATCTGGATTTTTTAATTTTTTTGACCCAAGTGTAAAAAACCCGTCGACCTGGATTCTTATTACTGTGGAGTGAAACATTTTGTCGACGACGTCTTCTCGGGAATTCCCCCACCATGTTCCATCCTTTTGTAATCTCTGGATGTTGAAATGCTATCCATCACACACCGTAATATCTGCCTTCAAGTCAAGGATTGGTCATTTTTGTACCACCCAGGAAGGGGCAGACGCATTTTACTACGCCTTTATCAGACTGCCTGCTGGGTTATATCCCCTTAGCGTGAAACGCATAACCAAATCCCACTTGCAAATAAGTCCTGCGTTTTATATTACCTACACGCCCTCTGATAACAGAAATGTACTCAGTTCTTGGGTTTCATAAGTGACCGACTATTAAAAGTAGCGATCACTAGGATGGCAGTATAGTAGAATTACAAGATATCATAATAGCTGCATATGTTCAAAACGCAGGCACGCGGGTTTTGACGAGATTCTGTTGTTGCATGGCACAACTGCGAGGGATTAGGCTCTTCAGTCGGACAGCCAGCACTCGTCGCGTGCTTTCTGGTAGATGCTCCAGTTTAGAAATTGACATTTTTAATTGCTTTGCTATTGGTCACAAGCGAAGTTGTGTGAGAACTCTCTTCCAACGAGTTCAAACACACTGTAGCTACGAAGACGGGAAAAAGGAGGAGACAAAATACCTACATGCTTTATTCACAGCCAATGGTTACCCAAGATCCTTCATACGTGAGTGCCGACGAAAGACTACCCGTCAGCGATCAGACGGTGAGAAGCCGAAGTTTTGGCTGGCGATCCCCTATGTGAAGAATGTTTCCCAGGCGACAGTTAGAATCCTAAACCCTTTTGGGATTGGGGTGGCCCATAAACCGGAATCCACCATCAGTACTGGCGACAGTACTGGCGAGCGAGTCGCGGCTCCTCCAACAGTTGTCACCTTCACAGCAGGGGGAAGGAGCCAGCCGGAGGTCACACGACCAACGCGAGACATCGCCCCACCAGCGCGCCCAGACAGCCGAGCGTGATTCACACATGCAACGGCAACTGATCAGTCCATCCGATTATGAGGCGAGGGCCCAAGGGCACACAGGATTTGCAGCGATTACGACAGCCGGTCAGGGGGCAGAGGTCACAGGAACGCGCCTTTGGCCGCCCGCGTAGGGACCAAAGCCAATCCCCTGCCAGAAGGCAGGTCAGAGTTCGTGCGTCAGGCATGCTTATAACACAAGACAGGCGGCGAGGCAGAACAACTTCGAGCAAGCAGGAACAGACACCCCACCACTCTGATGATGGAAACGAGAGAGTTTCCGAAACGTCAGCACCAGTACACTGTGGTTCATGCAATCGCCCCTTTTTCTTCTTCGTCTTCTTTTGGGGATGATGAAGGGGATAATTTATCAGGACCTCAAATCTTCGCTCATGTTGATACATGCTATGGGCGCACAGCCCTCCGATCTGCACGCAGATGGGAGACTTTTGCCAAGCGAGAGTCATCCACCTACGCACAGCTGACGTTCCTGCACCGTTGCCTTGATGAGAACGTCTTGCCGAAATGGCTCCGATATAGCCTGCCTGTGATGACCGACTTCTGCCAGCGAACAATGGCCGAATTCAAGAAGAAGATGATCAGAGTTTTGATTCAAGACTGCCACTCTCGCATCCGTAAGTACCGACGAGAGATAGAACAGCATTTCTCCACCTGCCAGTCGATATTTACTGAATACGAGATGGAAGTCCTGGAAGCGACCGTACTCAGTAGTGCACATTGCCATCGCAGGTTGCGCGACAGCCAAGTGCTTAAGAAGTTCGAAAGAATAAGTCAACCAACGCGGCCCCTTACTGATAGTGTCCTGGTTCACAACTTCTCCTCTCGTCATCTCACGCAGCAACAGCTGGCGGTTTTGTCCTATGAAACTAAATTCAACACGAGAGATGCTCGACCAGAAGACTTCATCGCATCCTTCGAATCAGCGCTCCAGAAGTGTGAGGCAAAGGAATAGTGCAAAAATTTCAAGCGGCAACAAGTGTCAACCCTTCTCCTCCGGCACAAACCTCAGAGGGCGATTTCCGAAACTGAAGACCAAGAGCTTCTGAGAATTCGCAAGATGAGGGATATCGTCACCCTGCCCGCCGACAAGGGACGCTCGACTGTTGTCATGGATAAGACCGATTACACGACGAAACTACAAAGTCTGTTGGAGGACGAAGGTGCCTATGAGCTTTCGGAGACTGGAGAGTTCAAGAAGCACGTGAATAGCGTAAACAGGGCAATAGACAAGTTGAGGAAGGCAGGAGCCTTCAAAAGAAATGAGGCATTGGCGGCAAAAGCCACAGATGCCGCCATGGCGCGTTTCTACGGCCTGCCAAAGTGCATAAGCCAGGAGTCCCCCTTCGTCTTCTTTTGGGGATGATAAGAGGGTTAGGTATATTTATATATCCACAGGTAGTGACCGCAGATAATGCGGGTACATAGATACAGTACTGAATCGGGCTTCTATTTCCTTCAATCAGCCAATCCTATCGCTGACCAGCAGCTGGGACCAGAAACACAAACCAGCGCACAGATTCAGCTGAAGCTGTTGGTCCACCACTGCGGTCTACCAGATGGGTCATCTACACTTCATCGAAAAGAAGGTCATCGGTGCATCACCACCGGTCATTCTTTGTCGCTGGAGATCGGTTATTAATTGAATCAGGAATGAGCGCACACCGATCAATTGGTTTCACGAAGCAAACAAGCTGCATATTGGGTGGCAAATTGCAGGAAACTGCGACCTCGTATCTTGTATTCAAGCAGTTTTCTATACGTATGTGCAAGTTACACTAGGTTTTTTTATTCATACAACCCAAATCCGCGAGTTACCAAGCGCAAA